CCTCCCGGCTGCTGCTGCCCCGCCTCGGGGCCGCCTCTCCTGGGCTTCGGAATCCTGTGCTATTGGGGGGCGAAGGCGTCGCTTGCTCTCCCTGCGCGCACGGCCCTGGCTGTGAGCACCTGCCTCTTCCCTGTGCAAGGACTAAACTACAGGGGTTTGTCTCCGAATGTGTGTATTTAACACTCATCGGTATTTAGCGTTCACCTCTTTCTCACTGCACCACCGCCCGCTTTAAAACGGGTCTTATAATTTCACTCTTGTTATCAAAGCAAATTATTCTATCCTGGTGTTTTCAAACATTCCTGCACAACCTTCCCGTCTCCGTGACAGGGCGGTGCATCCTCTGGCAGTCTCTTATTCGATGCCCTCCTTCCCCCAGCCCCTACATTTACTTTACCAGGTACCAGCGCTTTTCCAGATTGTGTGCAAAAGGAGAAAACAAACAAAAATCTCCCCCAAATTAGCACCGCAAAATGGCTTGGGGCTGGGAACCGGAAAAAATAGGAACAATTGGTATAAAGGTTTTCTCCTTCAGTGACTGGGTTTCCGTGCTACAACGGGCGGCGGCGGGGCCGGGCAGGGGGAGGGGACCGCCCGCCCCGGGCCGAGGAGCATCGCGGGTTGGAGAGGGGGGAGAAGCTGAAGAACTGTCCTCTAAAGCCTACGCTAAAGGTGCTTGACCTGGGAGTTGTACTAAGATCACACGGGATTTACGAGGGAAGGGTTCCCACCTCTTTAATAATTTTTCCTCCTCGGTGTATGGTGCTGTTATTGACCATATCCACGATGGCCACTCCCAAATTACATCGAATCCCGAAGGAAATGCAGAATCCCAGTCCACTCATGATGGCAATGATGTATCTCCGGGGCAGCCCGAAGCAGGTACAGTCGCAAAGCGGGGCTTTCTTTTCGGGCACTTCCATGGGCTTCCCATCTTCTGTCAGCTCGATGGTGTCCCCGGGCTTCTGCCTCTTCTCTAGGACTCTGCCCGACACAAGAAGGGAAAGTCAAGCCCCGTCCGCTTAAACGCACAGTCCCTTCGGGCAGCTGAAGGCTTAAGTTCACCGCTCCCCCCGCCCCTTTGGCTCGGTTTGGATTAATTTGAGGATTTATTCCTTGTTTTCCATTCACCTTCAACTGTTCTTTAGCAATGACCTGTGGGAGTCACGATTAGTCATCCCCAGCTCCCCCCGCCACCCCGCCGCAGAAGCCCAGGGAGGAGCTCCAGCTGAGAATTGCTCATCTATCATTAAAGACTTCTGCTTAAATATGTAGGATGCTTTAAGAAGACATCATCTGTAACCACTGCAGAGGCGCCATGTTGAGCAGCCCAAGAGGCATAGGATGGAAACCGAAACAGTCTTTCGGAGAAGGTTTTATTCCCTCCTTTCCTGCATTAGAAATACTAGAGGGGATGACCTTGGTGTACAACTCGCTTCTGGTCTGGGAACAATAGAAATGTTAACAGAAAGGGAAGTGAGGCGATATTGCTACTTATTTTAGATTTGCAAAATGGCTGTCACATGCAGTGGAAGCAAACACGACCGTCTTTACAACTGGCAGCTCCGGTGAAGTCTTTCCAAAAGATCTCATCTGCTTAGCTACGGGATGGGAGCGTGTGATCACTTAGCACGTTTTTAACCTTCCCTGATCGGCTTTAAGCTCGATCTCACTGCCCCAAGTCCCTTGTTTTTACATAAGAACCCTATCTCCCAGAAAACTATGTGCAGGAATCTGAAAGGGAATGGTTATTTGCAGCCGTGTAGAATCAACAGAACAATACTGACCCCCTCTCCCCTTCACCGTCCACGATAAGTAACCTACAACGTTTCGGTTTATTTCTTCTTTGCTGGAAAAGCTTTAAAAATGCCGTGTTGGTAGTAAGAAAAATCGAGTTTCTCGAACAAGTGTCCGATGCTGAGGGTCTTAATTTTCTTTTTAGTCACTGAGATATTTAAAAGACAGAGAAAATAACCGCTTCCATCCTACTTCCATCGTCTTGAGGATCGAATATGTGACCATTACCTGGCACTCTGGACTCTCCTGCCGCTGCCCTCATCCCTGCTCTAAGGCTGTTTTCTCAAGTCAGAAATTCTCCTCAGAGCAGCATCTCTTTGAAGTTAACTCATCCGGCTAATGGGGCGGTAACAATTAGCGGAATAAGGCTCAAAACTTCCTCTGTGTTTTCGAAAAAAATGCAGGGATTTTCTCCAGCAGTTGCTCCGTTAAAATCTTCCCGGTTTTTCTTTGCTGAGAGAATGATTTCCACCCTTAAAGACCGCAGCGTTAAGAAATGGCTTAAAGCTGTGAATAAAATAAACCACCATGGTTTTATATTAAAAAATTCGTTCGTGCAAATAAAGAATTTTATAGATGTGTCTTTCCCCTGAATGAGCTTCTTCTCTCCGGGAAGGCACTGAGGTATAAGGAACAGGAAAGCTATTGTAATTCTGAAAGTCGAAAATAATATAGTTCAGTCCCGTGTATTGAAAATTTGGATTTGTTAATCACAGAGGCAGTTCAAATGGAGTTTAGCAGGGAAATACAAATACTGTTTCTCTATTATTCACTGTGTGACTATATTAAAAGCATAATCGTTTTATTTATATGTTGTACAGGGCGAAAGAGAGGTTTGTTTTCTTAATTATTTGTAAGCAGTTGCTCTGGATTGTTAGTATTTCTTTTTTTCACTATTGAAAATCACTTGACTATGACCAAAAACTGTAGGGTATTCACTACATTGCTGGTAGCTTTGGTTTTGCTTCTGGCTTTTCCAAATTGTGCTTTGCCTACTGAAATGGAAATCTTAGTTTTGTCTTTACGACTTCACTGATGTGTCCCCTTCCCTGAAAATGGCAGCAGAAGTTCCGACTCCATTGATATGTCCCCCTCCCTGAAAATGGCAACAGAAGTTGTGACTCATGCTGTGGAACAGCCTTGTGCCTGTGCCCAACACTGCCGCATAGGTATGGAAAAAAGACTTTTACGTGACCTACCCTGGGCAGCTAAATCCGCAGTTACCTTTAGTCTGTAATTCGAAAAACAAACAAACAAAGAAACCAAAACAAAATTCAGGATGGTTTCCAACAGAGGGGACAATCGAAAATACACTGAAATTACACAGACGTCCTGGAGGTCACTGAAGTCGCCAGATTGGATGGAGCACGACGTGTCAACTTTAGTGCATACACTTTTTAGGTATGCGAGAATTTGGCTTGTTTATCTGTGTGTACAGGGCTAGAAGAGAGTAGAAATGTTCTGTGCACACAGAAACACGCTGTTGAGTGATGCTGTTGAGTTTAGCAATTGCAGCTGTGTGTTACCTATAAGACAAGTGGATGCTTCTCAATGCAGGCAGATAAATAATTAAACACATCCCTCTATATGTTTCAGCTTCAGGAGAAAAAAAAAAATCGTTCAGATATCAATTATTTATACTTCTCCATATTTATCTTCCTCTAACAACAGATTACACAAGGGACAAGATTAATCGAAAACAGGAAAGATTATTATTATTATTGTTATTTAATAGTTGGTGAAGGCAAAGGGAAAAACCTGTGTCTGCATTGCAAAATTAACACAACAAAAATAGAGGAAGCTGCTCTTTCTTGATTATGATTTCAAGATGGGATCCTGGTTTTGTGGGAGAAAGATGGGATAATCTTTCGCGACACATTGACTGACACTGTCTACGAATCAGATAGGGAAGTTACGAAGGTGCCATATTGAGAGGCTCCAGCACTAGTTTCCAGGATCCAGATTATATCAGCAGTATCTCAACAGCTCCCAGCCCCTCCGCTGCCAGCCTCCCCCAAGCATTCGACCTCCTTCAGCAGCTGACGGTTGAAAGCTTCAAATTATGTCTAGGAAGTCTGTAAGAGATGGCAGTCTTACCTGTAGAGTTGACCAAGCGATTTTCCAGCGAAATTCTTCAATCCCTCTTTACCAGGGGTCAAAATCCTTTGTTTTACCGACTCCATTCCTGCAGGGGTGCTCGCTGGATTCTGCTCTGGATAGGGCACTGCTACGAGCAACGATGGTTCATAGTGATTTAATCTCTTAACTTTCCCCCCTCATTAAATGGCTATCAGTGCACCTCCGGGTAGAGGGAGAGTGAGGGAAGGCGTGCGCGCCTGTGTGTGTGTGAGAGAGAGGGAGAGACGGCGTGCGGAGCCGGGGGGGGAGAGGGCGAGGGAGCGCGCCTGTGTGCGGCAGCGAGCGGGGAGTCTGAGGGCGCTGCAGGCAGCCCCCGGGTTTCCCAGCAGCGCGGAGTTGCCAGGCACGGTCAGAAAGTCTTCTCGGCCTTGCAGGGTTCAGTGGTGACGGGTGGAGGCAGTGCTATGCCCGGCTGGGAGGGGACGGAGATCCCTTTGCGGGAGCGTTTCAAAGCAACCTCGGTTTGACGCTGGAGGTGTCCCCGGCTGTAGAGCTGCAGGGGGAGGGGTGCGATTGGCCGCCCTAGGCAGACAGCTGCGAAGTCCCCGCGCCCCGGAGCCCCT